GTTAAAATCCTTTATTATCTTCTCAGAATTGGCCAGGGAGTTCCTTCAGCCTGGCCCCCGTGTCCCCATCACTCATCATTCTGTGATGAGGTACAGCAGGATGTTCTTGATTCATCTTGTACTTTTCCTGCCCCAGCGCTGGAATCAGCTATTTTACAAAGGATTCCTTTTAATGGAGATTGATAAATTTAAAAACTAAGATCTGGGTGGTAGGTGTCTTCATTGCTACATAACATTTGTAAAGCAATGTGATTTTATTTCAGGTATATTTGCTAACTCTGCTGTTAAGGAAAATTATGTTTCAGAGGCTCTTTTAAGTGTTTTGGCTATTTATAAATAGCACATTGTTTATTTGATGAAAAGGCTTTTGCTGGAATGGTGCTGTTAAAAGACTTCAACTTCAGTAATAGATTATCCCCCTCCCTGTTTTAAAAAATATATTTCAGAGGTGAACTTCAGCCCAATAGGTCACAGGTACTGTACTTTCTGAATCATCAAAATCCAAAATAATATTTTATCCAGATAAACGGAAAGAGACCATACTTTTTTAAATCCTCAAATATATGCAGTTCTATCAATGTTTTGTGACATATTACTAAGGAAATTTTATCAAGAAAAAAATTTGAAAATTATTCTTCTCAATTGAAGATAGAAGCTAAAGATTTGGAGATAGTTGTAACTGCATGAGAACACTCTTGGCCCTGGGAAAGTTATAAACTAGAAAAGAAAGCTCTTTGAGGTCAGCTTGTTTTGAATAAAGTGTATCTAATTGATGCTTAAGATTTTTCTTCTTATTTATTGACATGAACATGGGTGTTAACTCTGTGGACTTGGTAGCCATTTATTTTTTGTCTTTGTGAGCTAACATTAGATTGCAATTAGGAGCTTCAGCCCTCACCTTGCTGGGCAAACTCTTTAATGTACTAGATTCCTAAGGGTTAGGGAGCTTTGTGTTAGGCCCTGATCAGTGTGGTCCCCTCACTCTTCTAATTTTTTCTGACTTCAAAATAGGATTTGTCATTCTTACCCACCTTTCTGAAGAATTTTGTAGAAATTCATATAGTTGAGAGAAAGTACATGTGGGCTCAACTGCTTAGTGTGGTATTGAGTGAAGTTGAGGATAGCACAAGTGCTGAGCTGAATATACCTGAGGTAGTTTAGCTAATAAATCTGTGGCTTTCACATCTTTTTCAGGTCCCATAGCTTCCTGGGGGATTTTCTGTATAATCTAATCTGCCCTTTGGGTGGTGGGGCAGGATTCTTTGAAGAAACAAATGTGTGTATGCAGTATTTCATCTGTTATGATGCTCAAACATAATACACACATATAACCACCTAAAAATTGTATTTAGAACTATGAAAAAAATTAGCCCGTGTGTCATTAATTACAATCCCTAACATGAATATTTATTTATAAAAAATATATTGCTCTAGCAATATATTACTATATATATATTTTAAAACACAACAGAAATGTTAAAAGAAAGAGATAAAAGTAAGCAGAAGTTTTAATAGTATCTTCTTGCCTCTTGATGGGTCTTTGGAGATTAGTATCAAGGCACACTGACTGACACTCCATTTTCCATAACAGTAACAGCTGCCAAGTAGGTCAAAATATCTGTGTCTGCATGTTAGGGACACACTGAATATTTGAGACCAAAACATGGGTTGTAATATTAAAAAGTAGCAGACTATTATCACTTCTTAATAGTTGAGTTTTGAAATGACATGAGTCAAATTGGCTCTCCAAAAGGAATCTGTGCAAGTGCATTCCACTCCAAATAAAACTAGTATGTGAAAATCGGAGCTAAATAGTTTTCATTTAAATGAAACTAAACTTAAACAAAAAATTTACTAAGTGATATTACAGACACCCATGTACGCATACCTGTGCCAAAAAGATTTTTAGAAAATATTTGACAGAATGATTCTTTGACAAAATACTCATTATAGGTTTTCTGTAGCATAGTCTTTATATGTTCTCTTTCTTTGGGATTCTGTTATAGGTGATTGTTGAAAGTATATCTTTCTATTCTCTTCTCAGGTAGTAGAATCTATGGATGCATTAGATAAAGTTGTCCAGGAAAGGGAAGATGCCCTAAGACTCCTTCAGACCGGTCAAGAAAAAGCTAGACCTGGTGCTTGGAGAAGAGACATCTTTGGAAGAGTCATCTGGTACATAGTTTACATTGTGGCTTTTCAAAGATAAGAGTGGAAATCCCATGCCTCTTCCCCTGTCCAATATCTTTTCAGAAAACTCTCACCATATGATATGTATTAGATGTATTAAAGAGATATCTAATATAAACAAAGGTCCCCAAACGCCTCTGGAACTCAAGAATATGAAGATAGCTTTATTTGGTAGCCCAGGCAGCCCATTCCCATTTATCTATAGGTTCTTTCTAACAGTGGTTCTTAATCTTATGTGAATCATATGACCTTTTGAGAATTTGATGCAAGTTATAGATCCTTTCCCCAGAAAAATGTATGTGTATACATGTAATTCAGAGGGTTATAAATGCCATGAAGCTTATTTTCAAAGACATACCTGTCTTTTTTGTGCATTAAGATCCTGGGACTATTAAAAAGTTTTTGAGCCATAGGCCAATGAACCAGGCTTAGCTTGCTCCCACTGCCATCAGGATAAGCCCTAATCCAAGTTCTGACACAGCTTAACCTTATCTCCTATGTCCAGTCCCCATACTCCTGTCAGATCTTGGGGAAAGATCTAATAATAACATTAATACTGAGGTATAAATAATTGAGAAGACCCAGTGTATAATCTCTCTGCCAGGAGTTTATTTCGTTTGGGTTGACCTGCCAAAAGGAAACATCACTAACAGAATTTTAAACATTGGTCAGCAAATTGGGGAAGGTATTTTGGGTGGTTGGAGACCTTTCCTGTACTATTGCAGTTACATTGCATAATAGCGCTTACTCATTTGATGGGTTTTTAGTGGAATTTGAGGTAATGGGGCTGTTTAGAGCCACATTTAGGGGAGTAGCTGTGTTGTCTTTAACCATGTAATCTAATACAGAAAAGACAGAAATTGCTAAAACACCTGATTAAAAACTCTATTTTATGTTCTACTAATTCTTATTTGGATTAATCAAGTGAGGTCAATTAGGAAAGTGGGGATAAGAAGAGAATCTGTGTCCATTTTAGAATCTGTAAGAGTACTATTCTCTTCAAGGGTTTATTTTGCTTTTGATTTATTGAAGACATATGTAGTCCAAAGGAGGCTAAAACTCTGTATCTGTTTGAAAAAATATTAAATGTTTTCTATAAGGCAATACCTTTTTGCTTTCTTGGCAGGCACAAGTTCAAGCAGTGGCCTATACCTTGGTACCTAAATAAAAAATACAATAGAAAACGGTTCTTTGCAATGCCCTATGTGGAACGTTTTGACAGGTGAGCCCAAGTACCTCTACTAACAAACAACTTTACATTGGATGACATACGATAAGCTTTTGCATAAGTGAATACATGTTCATTGTGGAAAAAATAGAAAAATCAGGTAAAAAAGAAATTCTTATATAATCTCACCAGCCAGAAACAGCTTTCTATTAACCTTCTAGTGTATATCCTTTCAAAAGTTTTATTGCCTTTCTGTTTATCAATGTATATGTAAGAAGATGGTTACATTTTTCTATCGTGTTAAAGAGAAGGTCCAAATACTTGTTATATAAAATGTCAGCTTATTTTATTGCAAGGTTGATGAAATGAAAAGGGGCTAGGGTGAGGAGAGGAGCCTGTTGCATTATATCTGAATTCATGCTATCTTGCAGAATGGTATCTCCAAATATTTTTATAGCAAATATTTCTCTGCATTAAGGTTAGAGAACATAGATAGCACTTGTTACAGGAGTGAAGTGATTCCCTGAATCCCCAGCTAATAATTATAAAAACATAAAATTTTTAAAAATAGCTATTTTAAAACTGTATCCACATCCTTCTAGAAGCACACAGAAGACTAAAGGAGAGCTTAATCCCCGAAACTGCAATTGGAAGGCAAAAGACTTGCAAGTTTGTGGTTTCCAGGGCAAAGGTGCCACTCAACTCCATGGAAAAAGCAGGGATGGGGAAACTGCAGGGTTACTGGCTAAAAGTGTCAGAGAGCAGACTTCAAGGCAGAAAAGCAGCTAGAAATTTAAAGGGGAAATCCTAGCAGCACAAGAACCAGTTTTTTTAAGATTTTTTTATTGGAGGTTTGGGGGAGGGGAAGTGTTGGGGAATTGGGGAAGGGACCGGCCAAGTGGTTGTTCTTCAGTTTTCATTGTGGAGGGTGTCAGTCGCCATCTGGCTGCCCGTCGGCAGCTCGTGGCCTCTAAGCTCAAGGTGCTGTGTTCAATCTTAGTTGCTGGTGGGTGTAGCCACCATCTCATGATGGAGTCGAACCAGCAGCCTTGTTAAGAGCGCGTGCTCTATCTGCTGAGCGATCCAGGTAGCAGCTCAGCTCAAGGTGCAGTCTTAGTTGCAGGTGGGCATAGCCCACCATCGAACAGGCAATCTTGTTGTTACACCAGCTGAGCCATCCTGCCACCTGTTGGCAGCTCAGCGACAGCTCAGCTCGGGCACAGAGTCACTGGCCCATGTGAGAATCGAACCGGTGGCCCCATTGCTCAGAGCCCGTGCTCTTAAGCCAACTGTTAACCAACTGAGCCACTCGGCCAGCCCAAGAACCAATTTTTAACAACTGCCTTGGATAATACACTTTCAACAAGTGTTCTTTAAAAACTGATTTTCTCCCCCAAAAGCTTGTTTCCATACAAAAAAATCAAAAATACTTTTAAAAAACAATTTAAACAGCAATGAAGTGTCTTTAAACCGAACTTTAATGTATTTTAATATGCTTTAGAATCACACTTTTTTTCATCTACCCCACCAAACCAGCTACCTCTCCTCATGTCGTTTTATCTATTGTGACGTTGTGATTTGTAATGAAATATTTGGTTTTTGTCCGTTTCTGTCATAGAGCTCCTAAAACCCTTTGATTCTTAAGTGATGAGAGCAAAAGAGGGGGGAGGTGTAGCAGTACGAGGGGGGAAGGTGTCTTTTGCTGTTAATTTGTTTTGAAAAGCACCTAAGGTTGGGAGCTGGCTGACAAGGGGAACCAGCCATGAATAGCTGGTTCAAGCTTTCAATCCCACTCTGATTTTTAGGGAGGGGAAAGGGGCAGGAGGCAGAATCAGTTGCCAGTGGCCAATGATTTAATCAATCCAAATTCCTTCCCCACCTAGTGTTCTCACAATTTAATCTTAGTTACTTACCCTTCATCAAAGTCAGGCCTTTCTCCCTTGTTTCATAAACATAACTGGTTCATTTTCTAAACTCTTTTGCTGCTCCTGTTGCTAGTGCTTTGAAATCTCTCCACCCATATACAGTTTAAGACCAAGTCCAGATGCTAAACGATGGACGAAGTCTAACTGCGCTGGCTGTTTTTTCTCCAGGCCTCATGTTGTGCCATTTGACCCTTACAGGCATTATACATATCAGAATTATTCTATATTTAAAATGACCATTTTAGCCTTACATTCAAAGGATGCGGAACATTCTTCTGAATATTCTTAAGAACAGCAAACCTTTATTCTTTCAGATAGGGTTATTTCCTGTAAATAGCCAAACTTTAGTTGGAGCAAAGATTGATCAATACAATGGGTAATCTAATTTCAACTTTTAGTCTTAAAATTTTTTTTGTTTTTTTGTATCTACACATATTTTTTACTTCACCCAAATATAACTCTTATCTCAAATTTCTATGAACTCCCCCATAGCACTGGCATATTATATCCAGTACCTGACTCTTAATTGTGAAATTTTATATAAGCTTATACCTACTAATAAAATAGCCTACAGAGTATCAGCTTCAGTACTATAGAGGCTTTGCATCCATGAATTTATCATTTACAACTGACAATTCCTACATGACCCTTGAGATCTGCATACTTTAGCTGAGGCACAAATGCCTCCTGCCCTGAGATGCTAATAGGCAGAAGCAAACTCACTGAAGAGTGGTGAGTGTAACTAAGCACCTAAGCATCATCTCCAAGCATGATTTTATTCTCTTTGTTGTAGGGGAATAATATGGTAGAATGAGTGCTATTTGAAGTTAGCGAATTCCCCAAAGTCTCAGGATATATATCAGGATGTAAAAATCTAATTTCAATAAAATTACATTGTTTCTAAAATAAGGTAGAAAGATACAGTCTGTTACAAGTTTACAAGATCTGTTCATTTTTTCCAGTCAGGAAGTAACGAAGGAAACTTGGTGCAGCCTTACAGATGCTTTTGATTTCATGTTTATCTTTGACTTGAGTAGGTTTACAGTGATTATTCAAGTTTAATAATAATGACACACCTTATACAGAAGCTGGCATAATTGTGAAGCCTTTAAGTAATCGATTTGGACATATTTTGATAGTATTGAGTAACAGGGAAATAGTTTTGTATAAATCACTGTTATGCATTTATTATTCTAGACTGAAACGTGAGAAACAAGCCCGCATCCAAGCAAGGAAGAAAAGTTTAGAGAAAAAGAAAGAAAAACTTCTTCGGGAAAAGTTTCCACATCTTTCTGAAGCCCAGAAGTCAAGTCTTATTTAAGATGTCTGAACTCTTAATTTACCAATTTTTTCTTGGATAACAGTCTGTATATGAAAGTAACTATTTGTTAAGTTGTTAATAAAGAAATTGTGTTTCTAAACATCTATTTTAAATGTTATTATGGCATGTTAATGCTGGTCCTGCTTCTACCAGATTTTTAAAAAAATAGGTATAAACTTCAGATTAAATTCCCATTTGATAAACTGATACCTAAATAGATTTAAAGCACCTGTATCTTAGAGTAGGTGGGTCAACTGCTACAGCAAAGGCCAACCAGGTAATGTGTTTTTACTATTATTGTTAATAGGCTACAAAGATTGTGTATATATTGCTGTTGATAAACAGCACGGACTTTTACGGAAAATAATGATAAATACATTTAGTACTTAACATATCAAGTTATAACACAACAGTCCAAAATATGTATTTATGGAATGGCTAGTAATTTTTATTTAATTTTGCAAGCCTAAGGTAAAAAGCATAGGCAATAAATTTTACTCATCAATAAAAAGCAATTCTACCAATCCACTGGTAATTATTATACTAAAGAGCTGGAAAGCATCTGAATGAAAGCAAAATATTTAGAGAAAATAGATATTTATACAAAATTATAAAATGCTTGAAATACGAATAGTGCTTTTCAAGGAGAGCACCAACTTATTTTAAGTTATAGAGCCAGTTAAAGCCTTAAAATATTTATGTGGAAATTGAAATATGCAAAAATGTATAAAGTCTACAAAAGATGGTAATTCTTTTCCTGAGTATACTAAAGCTATGAAACGTAAGGTGACACAGGAAGGGAGAAGTGTGGGAGCTCTTCAAGGGCATTTCCTTTCTACACACTGCTTCCCTCCTTCCTCATATTCTTGTTTGGAAATCCACATCTGTTGAAAGGTGCCCTGTAAAATGGAAAGAAAAATTATATTGTGCCTTTTATTAGAAAATACTTTCTTTTATTATCTCTATTTTCACAACTTCTAATCTTTGAAGAACTCTTAAACCCTCCCCCAAAATAGTATCTATTATAACCTTATTTCTGCCCTCCTCCAGAACCCAGACACCACGTGGGGTTAGAAAGAATATTAAATCCTTATACCTATTATACTGTCATTAGGATAAAAAATGGCGGTGAAGGAAGATGGAGGGTTTAGCTATGATGGCTTGTGCCAATCTAAGGCAATAATAGAGACTGCTGGAAGGCTTGATCCCAGTACAGAATTGAAGAGATGTAGCACTTGATTAATGGTAACATCTGGAACTCAAAAGTGCTCATCAGAAACTAGGATGAAGATTTGCACGTACACACACCATAGTACACAAGCACTTTACCAAATAAAACATTGATAGTGAAAGGAGGAAAATGACCAAAGGAGGGAGGAACCTGGGCTACGTTAATAAGACATGTAAGCAGGAGAAATCCACTCCCTATGATTAACTCTATTCAAGTGGATTCATACATGGTATCTAGTTTTAATCTAAGATCTGCTAAAAGATTGGAACTAGAACATAGATAAGACATATATAAATGGACAGTTACATTTAATTGCTTAAAAATGTTTAGCATTAAGTACTTGATGACATTTACTTTGGTTGCTCTGAGGTGAAGGGAAAATTCTCCGATCTAGGGTGCAGATAAGTGCAAGGACTGTCTCTCCTGATTCTAGGCAGGCACCAGTCTAAGCAACATGCAAAACCCAGCACCATGACTTCCCCATCTGCCCCAAGGATCACTTCCTGACTACCTCACCAACAGGCCAGGGAGCAACCAAAACCTGAGAAGGAATGGTTTAATTTTGAACATACTGAAGGTAAGTCCTGACCAGGGCCAATGACAGTATTACTACAAGAGGCATGAATAAGTTAACAGATTCCCACCTCTGTTTGAGAAGGAAATGGAAATTGGGCTGAAAAATATCCACTAAAAAGGCAGCAGAGCATTTCGTTATATTAGAACATGTGAAACTGGTATTAGGTCCTCATTTGATTGTTATAAAATGCAAAGATAAACGATGCACTGGAATTAATTTTAGTCTTTTCAATAAATTTAGTATTTTAAGGCTACTTTTTCAAATGTCTCCACATTTATTTACATATGAAATGTGTTTAATACAGTTGTGATGGATGTAGTGCATACACTTAGTGGTACATTGAAGTTAAAGCATTCAATAACAAATATTTTGCAAAGTAAATTACTCACCAAAGAAGCCAGAATGGAGCCGCCAATCCATGAACTAAACCTCCGTTCCACTGTTGTGTTATTTGCAATCAGTTTCAAACGCATACTCTATAATAGAGGGAAGAATAAGTATTATCAATAAGATCAAATAAAACAGGCGACTCGACTTAGGAAATTCATTTTTGATGACTTCTCAATGACTCTGGTTTAAACACGGATTATACAGGATTTTTTTGCAACAGCTAGGCTAATGGTATGCACTAGCTGAACTGAATAGGAATTTTTTTTTAAACTTTAATTATGGCTCTTAAAGTGTAATATTTAATAAGAATAAATTACACACCTTAGAAAAGTGCATACTAAAGAGTATGGCTCTCACCATTCATATCCTGTAATAGCAAACATACTTAATGCCTACTGTAACGGTGCTGCGTACTTCATATATTGCTTCATTTCTCCCAACACCAAGTACAGTTACTATCCCAACCTGCCACTGGTTCAGTAGTCCTCCTCAAATTTCTGACTACTTCAGCCCTTTGTGCTATCCTAACCCCTCCTATCTTAGTTCACCCCTCTCCATCCCCCAAACCCTCTCCCACTTAAAAAAAACAAACCGCAGACATCAGATCTCAGCTAAGTTTTTTTACTCATACTGCTTTCCGTCCAAATTAGTGTTTCTGTTTTGAACTCACATGCTCTCTTGATAAACATTGTTTTTTTTTTTGTTTTTTTGCCTTGCTGCTATCCCTATTCTACTTCCTGTATCAAGAGCATTCCCCCTCCCCCACCACGTAGGACTTTGCTTTTGGAGATAGTTCTCAAATTGTTGATTCCTTCCAATTATTCTATATATGAACACATAGTTTGAGTCTTTTTCACAGTGAAATAAATGTGTGTGGCAGGGGGTGCTGGGAACGGGAGGGGTGAACATAGGTTTCTGAAGGTGAGGAACTACTTGATATCTATTACAATGGAATTTTTCCTGTTATTTCATTAATTTTTAATTGCCTCCTAAAGGACAGGGACAGTAACTAACAGGTCTTTTTACCAAATCTTGTACAGCCCATGTCTTTATTCATTACTCTGGGAATCTGCATGAACTCTAATGATTAGAGCTATAAGGTATACTCCAGATCAGACTTTATCTCCAGCAATGTAGTAGAAATACAAAGGCAGGTGTCAATCTTGTGCCTATATCAACATTTAAATAACACATTTATACAAATGTGGCATATGTAAAATATTCACTTATGCAAGAAATCGAAAAACTTTCATATATACAAATACTGTTAGGGCCTATGTAACCCCTACCAAGTTTTTTAAAACGTAACATTTAGTGCGGAGTACCTTACACAACAAAATACGTGATAGAAGTTTTAAAATCTTAAGATTATGACTGCTACTCTGTTATCAATGTACCATGTAAACTACCTTTTCCCCAAACCAGATTCTTTTATCCTTTTAAAAGTTATCACCACGTACCCAGGATCTTCTTAAAACAAACATGGGAGCTCTTCAGTCCTCTGCCAAATTTGATCCTGTAAGTTCGCTATTAATAAGTGACATAACCGGGTACGTATCTGTGTGAACTGTACTGTGTCCCGCAAAGAGCTATGTTGAAGTTCTAATCTCGGTACCTGTGAATGTAGCCTAATTTAGAAAAAGGGTATTTACAGATAGAATATATAAATTAAGATGAGGTCACACTAGAGCCAGGAGGGGAGAATGCCATGACAACGGAGACGGACTGAAGTTGTAGGTTCAATCCCAGAAACGCCAAGGATGCTGGCAAACCTCAGATGCTAGAAGAGGGAGGAAGGATTCTCTCCTGTAGGTTTCAGAGAGAGCATGGCCCTGATGAAACATTAATATCAGACTTCTAGCTTCCAGAACTGAGAAAACAAGTTTGTTGTTTTAAGCCACCTACTTTGTTGTACTTTTGTTACAGCAGCCCTAGGAAATGAATATACCATTCAACCAGCCATACTGCTCTCCCCACTTCTGCACGCATGATAAGCCTTTTGTAAATTACTAACCAGTTGAACTACTACTCAAAGAGCTTCTTCGTGAGGCTTTCCTCTGATACTCCCAGGGAGTTAAGTGCTTGCTCCTCAGTGCTCCCAAGAGCACCTGGTTCAGACATACTGAGCCGCTTAGCACATCACTGTGTGTGATTTTCTGCACATCTGTTCATCACAGCAGGCTAAGCCCTTGGTGGGCAGGGACTATATTTTATGTCACTAGTGTCTAGCAGACTGTAAGTACTTATGTGTGGAATCAATGAATAAAATAAGATTCAAATACTCCAAGACTAACAGATGTATCTAGGAAAATTTGATTAATAAGGGATATTCACTTTACTGAAGTAATACTGTACCAGGCACACACAAAATATCATAAATTTACTGAAAAACAAACTTTATCTATGTAACATTATACCAGTGGCGAGGATACATCTGACTGAAGAATACCACTAAAGAACGAACAAAACTTACTGGCGGAGTTTTCTGAGAGAGCTCTCTATTTAGCCTGTCAGTAAAGCTCTGTATTAGCGTGTTTCCTCCCGCCACTATCACACTGCCATAGAGACCCTAGGGTACAAAACAAAAATAAATTAGTTCCAAATATTTCCAACAGTTTTTAAACATAACTATAACGAAAACCATGTCCGTCACTACGATTTCCCTCTTTTTCAATTGTTTTACTTCTATATGGACCTGGTAGCTTAATCCAGTGGTTCTCAATACTGCAGCATATTCCACTCATTTAGGCAGCTTTGAAAACACCAATGCCTGGGGATGGGATCCAGGCAAAGTTTTTGTTAGTTTAAAACTCTCTAAACTAGTACATTGTTTTGTACACCTGAAACTAATAAGAATAAATAAAAGCAAAAAATATACATGTATTTTCCCCACTTTCTTCAAATGACTTAATAGTTTTAATTTTTACATTAAAAATGTCAATTCAGGGCCGGCCGTGTGGCGCGATGGTTAAGAACTGGCTTGGGACGCCAGAGGGCCCTGGTTCAGATCCCACATATGAGGGCCAGTGACACTGCCCTCCACAGCTAAGATGCTGAACAACAGCTCAACCTGGAGCTGGGCTGCCATGAGTCGCCGGCGACGGCGTAGGCTGCAGTCCCTGTTGCAGTGGGTTGCCACGGGCTACCGTGTGTAGCCAGCAGCCAGTGTGAGCGGCCAGCAGCCGCAGTGAGCGGCCGTCCAGAAGCTGGCGACTGATCTGCCTCACCTGGGAAGAGTGCAATGATGGTGCCAACTTGGGCCAGTGAAGCAACGTCCTCCACAACTAGACTGAAGAACAAATGGACAGCAACTTGTCTGTTCCCCTTCCCTCAATTCCCCAGCACTGTTCCCATCCCCCAATTCCCCAATAAAAAATCTTTAAAAAAAAAAAAATGTCGATTCAATCGAAGTTTATTTATGGATATGGTCTGAGTTAGTGTTTTATTATTATTTTCTTCCCAATTGAAAGCTAATTTTCCCAACATCATTTATAATAATAATACATCCTTTCCACGTCAGTTTGAACTGATAATTTTTTATATATTAAATGTATGTTATTCTGGAAAAAAAAAATCTCTAGGTGATTCTGCTATGTACTATAGTTTAAGAAACACTAAGTTAAAGCAATTACTCTAAACCCATCATAATTTTGGGTAGATAGATGCCAATATTTAATTAGAGGTATGTTTTGTAATGACTTCAGCTGAGGACGCTCATCTAAAAGTTCCGGTATTTAAAATTAGACAAGATTATATAATGATTGTGATGGACAAGGCATCCTCTGACAATATTCCTAGAAGATGACTGATACCTTTCTCTTTTGCATAGGTGTGCATCACAACCACACAGAGAGCTTTTTCAAAATCCACATGTGGAGGCCTCTCCAAATAAAAATAAATGCATACTTAGAAGGAGTATATTTACCTCAAATTGGCATGTATGCATCAGAAATAAATGTCAGCCTGCTTTTTTAGTGGTTAAATTCATGTTTTAAAAATTTATTCCAAAGGTATAAATCATCTCACATTTGAGACACTGGAGTACAGATGCATCTCCTCCGCAATCAACATGATTGAAAAGAAGAAATCTTGCTAAAAAGAGAAGTTGTCACTCTCTTAGAGTAAACGCACTTCAGTTCAACTGCCTTCCCCCAAAAGTGGCCTTGAGTTTACGCTTAAAAATTCCATACTTATACCCATATTGTCCTAGAAACCGCACATGCCTGCCAGTGGCTAGTTGAAATAAAGAACATTTTTCATAGCCACCCTAAAGTCCTTTTTGACAACATGGTTTTTTAATCCACCCTGTGCTATCAAACACTATGTTCTAAACCAGCGGTTCTCAACCTGTGGGTCGCGACCCCTTTGGGGGTCGAACAACCCTTTCACAGGGGTCGCCTAAGACCATCAGAAAACAAAAAGATATTTACATTACGATTCATAACAGTAGCAAAATTACAGTTATATAGAGTACCAACGAAAATAATTTTATGGTTGGGGGTCACCACAACATGAGGAACTGTATTAAGGGGTTGCGGCATTAGGAAGGTTGAGAACCACTGCTCTAAACAAAGGAATTAACTCAAAGAAAATAGAAGTATGTTGGCTACAAATTGAATCTAGGGTTTAAATATGACATAATCAATCTAATAATCAGTATGGTGTATAATATGGATTCAGTATTTAAATCTTGGAAAAGCACAGAAAATATGAAGGTAAAGAAGATCATCTAAACTACATTCCATGTAAGTTACATAATTTAAACCACACCTTCGTGAAAAACAAAAGGAAAAAGAAAACTACTATATACAAGAACAATCACCAATAATACATACTTTGATTTGTCACATTTTAGGAAATCTCTAGAACAGCACTGCCCAAAAGAACTTTCCATAATCATGGAAAAGTTCTCTGTATGCACTGTCATACAGCAGCTGCTGGCTATACTTATAAGGTGGCTACTGCAACTCAAGAACTTAACTTTACATTTGTACTGATTTTAATTTAAATGGCCACATGTGGCCAGCAGCCACCACACTGGACACCACAGCTCCAGAGTGTTGCATTTCTCCTTCTCTAGTACTTCATCTGTTGACATATTGTTATAAAATGGACTTCAAAGTCAACGGCCAAAGCTGCCAACTTAAATAATGATTTGGGGGCATTTCATTGCACTAGAAGATACCTTTACGCCATAAACAGGAGACTGGCACTTACTGGTCTGATATCAATATCGCACATTCCGACACTTGTAGTGACAACATGACTGACACCCAGCATTGTATTTCCTGATAATCCCTACAACAAATAAGATGAGTACTGTCACAGAAGAATTTCAAACAATAAAGCACAGATAAAAAAATTTAGTATTATTTAGGTTTTATAATTACACAAGATTATTACATGTACAGGAAAAACCAGGCTAATTATGAAATAAGCTTTTATACCTTCACATTGGAAGGGTCAAATAATCCTTCAGGAATCTTTAACCGTTCGGCTCCAAAATCACAGTTGTAGCCATTGGGGAATTCATAATGAACAGTTGGCATCTGTGCAGCTACTCTGAAAACATATTAAAACAAGACAAAAACAATCCTCTTCAAAATTATAAACTATTAAGGAATCAACTTGTAAAAAAGCAAAATGAAAATATCTTATTTTCTTTTACAACGTTATTCACTATTTCTTATCTTTTTACCTTTAGACCAGTTAAGTATATTCTATGATTCTTTTTTTAACTAAACAAATCAATTTCTTTCCTCATTTATGAAGTATACAGTTTTCTCAATGATTACTTGGATTCAGTATCAAAGGTTTTAATGAGCTATTAAATTATAAGTCTTGTAAACAAAATAAGAAAACATACTGTTCATCGTAAGTTGAATCTGATACTTGAAGTACTGAAGCTTGAAAATCCTGGATCACACACTATGGAGAAAAAAAAAAAGTTTAAGAAACAAGGTTATTGAGTTTTGTCTTTGTAATACATACTTTCGTAACATTATATATAAAATACTTTTCTTAAATGAAACTGGACCACGTTCCTGGATGAGTAAGTCATTCAAGGGTACAAATCTATCTAGCAAGGACTCTTGACAATCAAGAAATCCAATTCTGAACATCTCTATTAAAAGCTAAATGACAGAACACTTAAATCATATGAGTTATAGAACAATGATGCGATAAAAACAACTGGAACTCTTGTTTCACAGTCCTGCATAACAAACCTGGTTTCAAAACAGTTTTTACCTTAAAAATATGTACACTTAGAAGCAAGATTTCATTACCTGAATATACAGAGGGTACCAAAAAAAGTATCCACATTTTAAGAAAGGAAAAAACTGTATGAAAATTACGCTGATGGTAACCATTTTGAGCACCTCTTGTAATTGCACAAGTCAAAAGTGTCTTGATTTATCTTTTATCAGTATATATTATAATTTTAATAGTTTTTTTCCTTTCTTAAAATGTGTATAAACTTTTTTGGCACCCTCTGTATGTATGAATACACACACACACACACACACACACACACACACACACATTGCATTTTATGTAATTTTTAATGATTGCATATAGTATAAAACAATGTAAAATTTTGCTCTGAAATACATATGTCCTCTGGGCTACTAAGGAAAAATCTTTTCTAATATTTTGGCAATATCATTAATCATCTTCATAATTTTTACTTGTGAACACCCACAAAAAATCTTTATATTTAGGGTCAAAAAGCTCTCACATAGAATATATCCCTCACACAGTGAACTGTGACTTTCACATCCTTTTACTGTGAGAAATGAATGTACAAGCATATATCTGTGGTGTAGGAGGTTGCCTTACTAACTTATCCCCATGTCAGTAAGTCGTATGTTCAGAAATAGATTTTCAGTAAAGAGAGTCTCTTACTGGCTCCTAGCTATTAACAATAATACATATATTTTTTTTATATATATGGCTGACTGATGTTAGGAAATAGAATGTAAATAAGTCATACCAGCAGATCTTTATGGGCAAAAACTATTTTCTCCACCAAAAAATGTCCAGAATACCGTAATGCTTGTTTTTACCCCAAAACCAAAGTTCCTTCCAGGTCTCACCATAGTAATCCAAATGAATACACATTAGTGTTGACATATTTGTTTGGCAAGTATGAACCCCCCCTCCCCCCCAAAAAAAGCTATTAGTTTTGTTTGTAAAATATCATTAAAAATGTAAAGTTTGAAAATAGTGCTCATAGTGTATTCAAAGACCGACAGCCAAAAACTCTCATAAAGAGAATAAGGGTTACTTACGTTACACATATAATTGTGCCAAGACCTTGTAACCTGTGGCAACTTCTCTTTTCTTTTCCAGTTTGCTGGAGATCCTTCACGCACAGGTTCCTGAAGTACCAAGAGCAGGTGCTAGGTTAACAGGGTTCACAGCGTGAGGTGAAGAGGTGGGGAAAAATTCCAAAAGCAAAATTCAATCATCACTTACTTTTGATGCAATCATATAGGGAGGAATCAGTTCTATATTCATTTCTTGGAAGAGTTCTCTGCATTGCATCGTAATAAAGTCTCCAGCAAGAGGGGATTTCACAATACCTATGAACAAATTAAACAAGAGAGCACTGAATCCAAACTTCTTGGGACAGATTTCCTGTGGATTTATGAATATATTTTTCAAGTAGATATGTGAATCTATATATGAATAATATTTTTCAAGTAGAATTCACTGAACTATCCCTCAAACCATGCATAAAGCCACACATTAGTTTTAAGTACACATTATATTTTTAAGATTTTAAGATTTTTAAAAAACTCTTGAATAAAGACATTATTTGGAAATTGTTGTCACAACAGCTAACATTGTCTCCGTGCAGTCTGGTTAGATATAGTTACCTTGCTGAAGGACGTAGCCATCATGAACTGGAATTGCAGTGGTATGAGTGGCTCCACTGTCCAAGATGAGCCCAGTAGAGCGACCATTAGCAAATCTAGTTTAAAGCATTAAGGAAAAGGACCAGGCTCCTAAAAATAATGTTTATTGTAAAGGGAAGGTTTTATTAAGGCATTTGTAAACATGTACATTATGGCTTAAAATATGTTCAAGTAAATCTAGGGATGAAAATTGCTATCAGATAATGACTCTGGCTTAAAAACAAATGACAACAGGCAGGATGGACTTCCAGAGGGGTGGTGAGAGGAACTTAGGGAAACCTTTTTCCCCCGAGACAGACATCTGTTAAGTTGGTCAAAATTAGCACAATTACTCCAAGTCTCTGGAGATAAATCAAAGGGCTTACAGCAAATTGAGAAGCATTTAGTTCTACAGACACTTGGAAAGAACAGTGGGAGGCCATGGACTTTGAGCTAGGAACTAAAACCATCCTCACACAGGATTAAAGAAGTATCATTTCATCAGTGTGGCTGCTGAGGGGCAGTTCCCATTTCCCCCAACTCAATGGGAAGAGCCATTCCATGTGGATTCAATAGCCAATGAATATCAGCAGGACCCCTTTTCCACAGCTTGTGCAGCAAGCAAAACGTCCGTAGCACAGGAACATAGTAACCCACTGTTAGGAGTAGGACCATTCACTCAGTCATCAAATATTTACTGAGCATCTATGATGTGCCTAGTGATGAGTCTGATGTTTAATAAAGGAGGAAAGGAGGGAAGTCTGTCTGGCACTAGCAGTCCTTAAGCACAGAAGACACATAAAAGGGAACCAACTGTCTCTGCCCTGAAGGACATCCTGTTCAGTGAAGTAGAGATCAGTAAGTGAAGCTGTAAAAAGAACAGCTCAAGATGCCCTGGGTGGTATTAAAGAGAGCCACCTAACCAATCCCTGGGCAATCCAACTGTAAGTTGGGGAGGGGGATCTGGGAAAGAGCAGGAACTTGTGAGAAGGCCAGGAGGCAGGAGAGCACGGTGAGGTCAGGCAAGTGCAACTGATTCAGTACAGCCTGGAAGAAGAACAAAGAAAAGAATGTATGAAGGTGATTCTGACTTAAAATAGGCTAGCAACAAACAGATATTTAGAGCGGCCATGTGAAGAATTGACAGATAAGAAGAGGAAGGGCTGCAGTGATCCCAGAAACAGCTTGCACCTAATGCAGTGGCAGTGGATAGAGAAATAAACAGACTGGAGAGATGGCTGGGGAAAATATACATAGGTCTTGATAACTGATACATTTGAAGGGTTAAAGGGAAAGATTTCTGGTCTGGGCAACTGGGAATAAGATGACAGACAGAAGGAGATGGAATAAATTTGAGGGGGGAGAAGATAAATTCAGTTTTGGACATAATGAATTTTAAAGGGCTATATTACTCATCCACAAAAAAGAATGAAATCTTACCATTTGCAACAACATGAATGGACCTAGAGGGCATTATGCTTAGTGAAGTAAGTCAGATGAAAGACAAATACCCTACGATCTCAATTGCATGGGGAATCTAAAGAAGAAAATAAACAAAATAAACGAACAAACAAAACAGAAACAGACTCATACATACAGGGAACAAACTGATGGTTGCCAGAGGGGAGAGGGGTTGGGGAGCTGGGTGAAAAGGTAAAGGGATTAAGAAATATAAATTGGTAGTTACAAAATAGTCATGGGGATGTAAAGCATAGAGCCTATAGTCAGTAATGTTGCAACAACTATATACATACAGCGCCAGGTGGGTGCTGGACTGATGGGGGGGATCACTGCATAGGTTGTGTGCATGTCTGGCTGCTGTGCTGTGCATGTGAAACTGATATAAAGTAGTATTGAATGTCATGTGTAACTGAAAAAAATAAATTAAAAAAAAATAACATGTATATATCAATATAACTAACAGAAAAAGTTCTGGTAGGCAGCTGAGCCGGGAGCTCACAAGCAAGATCTGGGATACAGATACGGATTTGGAATTTGTGACTGTGTAACTGGTATCCGAAGCCAAGGAAATGGATAAGTTAAGCCAGAAAGATCATGTCAAGAGAGATGAAAGGCTAAGGGCAAAAAAACAAGGAATGGGTAGGGATGATCAGAGGGAAAAGGTCTGAGAACACAGGGCCAGAAAGATAAGTTGGTGATTTATGTTTGCTATTACTGGTACTCTACTGACCTCTTGTCAGCTATACACACAAACACTAATTTTATCTCTATTTGTACCAAGTCATACAGTACTACCTGTCTAGCAGCATAAAGCTTTACAAACCCTCCTATAGATGGCAATTACAAAACCTGGACACATTATTTAAAATTACTATTTTAATTTAATATGCTGGAAAGTGTTCAAAAGCAGTCAAAATTCAGCCAAAATTTATTCTGGTAGAACTGCGACTGGAAGGGGTAAGAACGGCAAGTTTGTAGCATCCTTGCCTGAAAGGGCTTCCCAGCTCCATGGCTGTGGCTTAGCAAATCGGTGGTGGAAATTTGCAACTTTACCACCTTCAGTGAACAGAGAAAGGAGTTCAAGGCTAGAAGAAAAGCTGGACTTTAAAGGCAGAAAACGTGGAAGCTACAAAAACACAGAAGGGGTGAGACCTAAATTCTGGATATAAAATCTACCCAAATCTCTGGCCAGCCACTAAACTGTTCAAGTGCAGGACTTTAGAGGGCCCAACAAAAATACATGAGAGAACAGGGTAATCCACTTTTGAAAACCAGAGCTGCACCCATGAATTCCGCATGTTACCTTTATAACTAAATGCATTCTCCAAAAGTGTGTAACTTAGAAGCACAAAACTGAAGCCTTCCTTACTAGCTCACTTACAGTGTCAAGAGGACAGAGCCGAGGGCGGCCCGATGTGAGAACCCAGCTCTATCATCATCAATGAAATCAGATAAATCAACGCTACTCTTCTCACTAATATTTTTGTTTTGGAAAATACAGCTATCTTTTTCATAAAAATGTTATTTGTATTAACATTAATAGTTCTATATTTGTTACTTTACAATGAACTAATAGATAAATGTTAAATTCTTAGTTTAAATCTCTCAAACAGTAAAATTGATAAATATAACTCATAAACAAAAGCTCTCTGGAGTTTTCAGTAATTTTTAAAAGTGTAAAGGAGTCCTGAGGCTATAGTGTTTGAGAAGTCAAAACAGTTTTTAGAATAATGCTAAGGTGTTATTTGTCTTTTTCACTGTCATTCTCTCATGAGTGTATAGGGGTTGTCCAGGTCATGTGTGATACACAGTAGACTGAATACAAATGCCAGATATAATGCTCCAACTTCCACTATTAAATCGGACATTAAATTGATTTGAAAAAAGTAAAATGATTTCATTCTTGTCATTAATTTTGTTTGGTTTTGGAAAAGTTATTTTTCATTAAAATATTTTATAAATATTAAAATATAACAAACTTATTATTAATTTACTTAAAATAATACTAAGCAAATATAATTTTTAAGTTTGTGTTTTAATTTCTTATGTTAAATACTGCCAGACACAACCCACATAAATAAAAGTCCCGGGTATAAAAATTTGACAACTGCTGAGCTAGAGGAACATAGTAAAAAGACACCAGTCAGCAAAAATCAAGAACTGTGGGAAATTCTACAGGACAATCTCCTTCTCTCAACAAATAAATTATGTACAAGAGGAAAAAGGGGGTGGGGAGCAGGAATAGAATCTATACGTTAAAAGAAAACTGAGAGACATTGTATTTTGAACAAATGCCATGTATGACCCGTATTGTTTGGTCTTCATTCAATTATACTAAGCTTAAAATTATACTAAGATTAAAAGAAAAGAAAGTGTGGCTTATCTTGTGTTTTTAGAGCGACATGGTAAAATATTTTATAAGTATATGCTAAAGTTTCTATGGATAAAATTATACAATGTCTGAGATTTACTTCAAAATCATTCTGAGAGAGTGTATGCGTGGGATTATAACTAATATAAGTTAGCCATGTGTTGAAAATTATTGTACCTGGCTGATGAGCACATGGAAGTTCAATATAATATTCAATATTCTTTTCTGTTAGAAATTTTCTATAATAAAACATTAAACAATAAAACAATGCCCAATTTGGTTTTCATATTCTTTGTAAGGAAGCAGCCAAAGAAATTGCCATTTTCAAATTGTGGACTTGGACCAATTTGCTTATGTTGACTCCATTTCCTTACAGGGTTATTATGAAAATTAAATGAGATAACACATGAGTCAGCTAGTACTCTCCATCCTCTACTTAAAAACCTGCAATGGTTCCCTAGAGTCTAAAGTTCAAATTTTTATATGTAACATGTAGGGCCTCTACAATCAGAACTAAACCTATTTTTCCAAGTCCTTCTTGAGTCTAACATAAATATTCAACTATAAACTAAGTCACTGAACAAATGCTCATACTTTCTACCTCCACACTTTTGCTGAAGTCATCTCCAAGACAACAGCACTATAGACAAATGTTACCACAGTGATTCTCACGTGTACACACACACACACACACACACACACACACACACACACACACACACACACACACAATTTACTTGATTACAGCAATCCAGGGAGGTACAAAGAATAAATAAGTAAAAGTGAAGCTCAAATTTTATGCACCTAATCCAACATCAAAGTTTGTAAATACTGCAACTTGAACTCTAAATATAGGGCTCTTTCTCCCAAATCAGACAACTAAATTCTATCTTCCTTATAAATGTTTGTAAGGCTACTATGTTACTCCACTGAACTGCCACAATTGCTGTACAAAACATTCAAATCAAACATGTATTTCTCTGACTTTTGCCAATGGTATTTTGAAGTACTACTTAAATGTTATTTAGCTTTTAACAAGAACATTACATTACAAATTCTTGGAGATTAGGACATATTTCCTTATCTGCCCCTTAATCTGCTTGCTATAAGTATATGATGATTAAACCTTAACTGAATTTACTGCCAATTTCTACTTTTCTATGGTGTTGAAGGGAAGGAAGGAAATAGCAATCTCTGAACTTATTTAAGCCAACAGGCTTAAACACTGCCCTCTACGCACTTTCCCCTTCTAAAAACAACATGTGAAAACAAACCTTGTTAACAAGCAGGATTTCAGTGTTTCTTTCCTATTACCCTCTCATATCTTCTGGCACATCAGTACCAGTAAGAAATACTAAGAGATAGTTAAAAAGAAGGGGGAAAAACACCGCAAACTTCTGAACAAGCAAGAACTGGCTCATGTCTGCCTGTCGGGGCATCATCTCCAGTAGCATCACACTGATTTCTAGAGAAAAGCTGAGCATTACTCTTTCAAGGATACGCTGTCAAAACCGCAGTTTTGCAAAGGAAGAATGCAGGGATGTTGTAGTGTTCAAACATTAACTCTGTCAGTTTCTCTCTCTTTGCTCTAGTGTTCCACTTGAGAAGAGGGAAAAAGAAATGCAAGTTATTTAGTGTCTAAAAACCAAAATGTTGACTTAGTTCAAGATTCATTATAGTACTTAACAATGACATGGAACATTAGAAACAGAATAAAATACCATGCCAAATAATCTTCATAATAACATCTTTATAATATTTAATTCATTTCTATTTATTTGTAAATACTTCATAAATTAAATATAAATTAAAATTTGGTTAAGTAAATTGTCTGCCACTATGAATTCTAGAAATTACAGATTTTTCAATTAAAGGAAGTACGATTCTTATAAAGTATTACCAAATCTTAAGAGTGATCTGTAATCAAAATACTAAGTATGACTTTTAAACCACCAAATTCTCCCACTCATAAAAGAAACAAGAGGTTAGAAACAGTTAACAGAATATTGATAATTTATGTATTTCACACGAGACTGCAATCTAGCAATTTCCAGCCCTAGTTCAACATTTGACTTCTCTCCTGAAAACCTGAGAACATAAAAGCAGATATACACTGCCCTTGAGGCATAAGGGGCAATTCAAAAACCAAAATGGGAAGGAACCCAAGGAAATCAAATGTTAAATAAATCCCTGGAAAAAAATAAACACCAAAACCCATTAAGGTGCTCTAGTATTGTTCTTTAAATATTTTATTTATTGAAATAATAAAAGTTTTAATTCTTTAAAGATTAATCCTCCTTTCCCTAATTTTCAAAATTAAAAATATAAATTTTTAATTTTTTAATGCTTCTTTAAAGAAGAAAACATTTTTCAATGAGTGGGGGAAAAAAACAGAAACAAAAATAAAGTCTTGGTCTCACCGGTGCTTCTGACATGAGAACAGGGTGCAGGCTGGGTTCTGATTTGACATGCATTTTGTAGGTATGATCCAAAATGGCCTGGAAACTCTCCCAGTCTTCAACTAGAATATAAAATGAATACCTTGAAAACAATGCCTAGCTGAAGATGAATACATCATCTTTTGAGAGACTGTTTCTATGATTAAGCATTAAATACTTTAATATACAGAACCTACTTATGTAAAAATCTATTTTATAACATAGTACTTTATATAGACATCATCATGTCTTCTGGATATAGAACCTCTTTTGGTTCCTCCAGGCGCAACAGTGTCACAACCCCAAGACCTGTCCCAAATGTAAATAATGTACCTAGTAAACCTAAAATACCAAGAACATATTATTCAATAAGTACTTTAGAGGCCCAGTATGATATCAGAATGGTAAAACAATTGTGAGCTAGATCTGATGAAGTCAAAAACCATACAATCTATTTGAAAAATAAAATTAAAGACAAAATATTCAGATAATACAATAATATATCTTCAATTTGCCTTCCACCTGAACATTCCATTAAAACTGTTTGCATAGGCCACTAACTGACCTTCTAACAGGCAAATCCAGAGAGTACTTCACATTTGAAACTTCACTTGACCTCTCGAAATTATCTGAAACTACTGACTACCCAAGAGCTTACAAACTTTTTCTGCCCCAGTCCAAAGAAGAAATGTCATTACTTGTACAACATACTTCCACAGGCCTAGCAACTTTTTTTTGGTCAATGGACTTTGTTAGTAGCACTAACTTCTTTCTCCCCTTCTTTTTTTTTAAAAGATTTTTATTGGGGAATTGAGGGAGGGGAACAGTGCTGGGGGATTGGGGAAGGGGAACAGACAAGTTACTGTCGTTTTGTTCTTCAGTCTAGTTGTGGAGGACGTTGCTTCACTGGCCCAAGTTGGCACCATCATTGCGCTCTTCCCGGGTGAGGCAGATCAGTCGCCGGCTTCTGGACGGCCGCTCACTGCGGCTGCTGGCCGCTCACACTGGCTGCTGGCTACACATGGTAGCCCATGGCAACCCACTGCCACAGGGGCTGCAGCCTCTGCTGTCGCCGGCGACTCATGGCTGCCCAGCTCCAGGTTGAGCTGTTGTTCAGCATCTTAGCTGTGGAGGGCAGTGTCACTGGCCCTCATATGTGGGATCCGAACCGGGGCCCTCTGGCGTCCCAAGCCAGTTCTTAACCATCGAGCGACTCAGCCGGCCCCTTTCTCCCCTTCTTAGTAGAATTTTCAATGTCACCATTGAAGACAATGAGAGTCACTGGACTCCTATGCTTCCAGGACATTTTCTTTTCTTGGCCTTCTCCTGAATTTTCTCCTCCATCCCTAAATTTTCCTTTGCATTCACCTTCATCAGAACCTTTTCTTCCCTATTGATTATTTGGTTATTATTATTCTCTATTCCTTTTCACAAGGAACCCCATCCTCAACCCTATTCTCATATTTCAAATTCTTTCTGGGTAACATAACTCCCTATCTTAAAATTTTTTCACCTGCTTACTAGATCAGCACCTATGTTCAAAAATTTTGAACTCAGTAACAAATTCATTTACTTGCTGTGCAGAAAAGAGTTAACATAGCAGGACTGAGAGAGGCCTGCTTCCAAGGTTGACCCTTGGCTGGCACCTGAGAACTTGACTGGTAAACAATTCCCTACACTGACATAAAACTTTCCCTAAATAATAAGAGTAGCTCACTGTGCTTAAACCGTTTGTACAATGTGGCTTATGAGGAACACCTTTCCCTATGGAAGTCTGGGATTTTGGTATATGCTAAGCACAGGGTACCTACATAACCAGCCCCCAGTGAAAACCTTGGGTACTGAATCTCTAGTGAGCTCCCCTAGTAGACAACACATGTGGTCTTACAACTCAACGCTCGAGCAATTAAGTGCATCCTGTATGATCCACTGTGAGGAGACTTGGGAGCTGTGCACTGGTTCCTCTGGACTTCACTCCATTCCCCTTTCTTCCATTGCTGATTTTGTTTTGTATTATTTCGGTAATAATCTTGGCCATGAGTACAAATATATGCTGCGTTCTGTCAGTCCTTCTAGTGAATAACCGAACCTGAGAGTGATCTTGGGTAGTAGCAATACAGTTGCCTTGTAAGACCATAAAACTTGCTTCTTCACCTTGTGTTCCTACCTCAATGCATGGTGCCCTCTATTTAGTCACCCCAATAAAAAATCTAGGAAACTTATATGGTGATGGAAGGAGAACTGATTCTGGGGTGGTGAACACATAATGCAATATATACATGATGTATTATAGAATTGTACACTTGAAACCTATGTAGTCTTGTTGACCATTATCACCTCAATAAATTTTAATTAAAAAAAACTAGGAAACTTTCTCAGCTCTTCTCTGCTTTACACCCCTTCAATCACTTAAGTACCATCTGTCTCCCAGATATCTCTGAAAGCCACCTCAGAATTTCTGCCATCAGTGTTGTAATTTAAATCCTCTTCATTTTTCAACTGGATTCTAACCTTCCTAAGAGACTTTCCTGTCTCTAGTATCTCCCTCCAGTCTAGCCTGCATATTGCTGTTAGAATAGACTTTCCAGCTGGCAAGGATGAGCATTTCATGTCTTTGTTTAAACTCCTTTGGGGTTACCATCCAGTTGCCAGCTTAATACACCCCTGGCATGGTTTACAAGCTCTTTTGTGATTGTTCTTCACCTACTTTTCCTGCAACTGGCCCTAAGGCACCCAGTGTTACATCCATATTTAATTGATGACATTTCTAAACATGTGACTTTCTTCCACAACTCCATCTCTTCACACGTACTGGTTGCTCTGCTTTACTCAGTCTTATCAGTCAGGCAAATTCTTATTCATTGATCAAGACTTAGTAACTCCTTTGTGAAAACCATCACTGACCCATAAAGGATAGAGTTAAATACCCCTCCTCTCTAATCCCACTACTTACAGACATAGCTATATAACAGCATTTATCCCACACATTTATATAAATACATCTAGCTCCCCTACCTATGAGTTTCTTGAGGAAAAGGACAGTCTTTTACGCATCTTTGTATTCTCAGTGCCTGGAACGTCAGTTTGTGGAATAAAAACAAACAAAAAATGCCTGATGTTCAACTTATAAAAAGCTGTTGCTTTGTATCTAAAATGCATCATGCATACTCTGTATTTATAATCAAGTCCATAGAAAACACATCTTACCCATCCCATTTTTGAGTGGTGAGATGGCCTCCATGTTCTCCCTCGGAACACGCAGGGCATTAGTATCTATGTAATAGGTGGGACCACCTTGTTTGCCTTTATCGCCATCTATTTCCATCAATGTGCTGCCATCATCTCTTTCTACCACCACACCAATAGCTGTGGGGAAATCTACCTGCAAGAGTCAAAAACATGTATACAAGTTTTACCTGCTTTTATCAGGAGTCATTTTTCCCCTAGCTAATGTCTTTTATCATATATGAGTCAGAATTTCTGTATGATTTTAATTCTACATGAATGGCCCTCATATATCCAATTAGCTCTAACATTACACTTACCTTGGGACAGTCCTCACCAGCATAACCAGCTCTCACAGTATAGGATCCAATGTCAAAAACAAGGGCTCCAACTTCATCTGAAAAGAAGAGAGGATAATTAACATTAACAACTTACAAGTACCATATGAAAATTCAAAGAGTACTTATACTTAACATGCTCAAAATGAGAACATATGTGAAAGCTCTACAAAGTTTAAAACAGGCGTTACATTCATATTATTACTACCTTGAACCTAGTTTTAATTTAAACACACACTAAAGATTCATTTAATTAAAATACAGTTTCATATGTGGTATATCAGTATATCAGAAAAGAAATGGCACACTAAAATTGGATAATTTGAGGGGAGTTAACTTATTAAAAGGACTATTTACAAAGACATAGGAACAGTATAGAAACAACAGAAAAGACAGTATGGTATCCTAGGACTAACAATAACAGAGAGCTGTCGCCACCCTTAGAATTGAAGAAATGGAGAAGGAACTTCTTCTAGAACCCAGAGAGAGTTGTGTTGGGAGGGCTACCTGACAGGAGCTATGGCCTTCAGTTGAGGGATGCAGTCACCCTTGGCTGACCCTGAGGGGAAGGAGCCAGACTAAAAAATATGCCAACCTGTCTCCTCTCCCCATGGACTAGGGTGATCTCATGACTTCTCATCCAAACTGGGCTACTTCTGAATGTGAAAAGGGGTCCCTATTATTAACTGTACCAAGACAAGGGGCACAAAGCAGGAAGTATGGTTATCCTACCATTTGCAAAACCAGGGGTCAAGAAAGCCCACTGATGCAGTCTAGAAAGGTTAACCTTCAAGGGCACAGAGAAGGTAGAAATGAGTGGAAAATGGATCTGGAGGGGCAAAGGGAAGAAATCCAGTACACTCAGGTACCATTTATCTTACGTTAAGGGAAATTATATTCCACGCAATTAGGGAAGAAACTGAGCAAAACCCCAAGAAAAATATGGACCCTGAAGAATAAGAGTTTAAGGTGTTATTATACAGAGCAAGTAAAAATCATTTAAATGAAGTATGAAAGTGTGCACATTTCAAAGATTTTTAGGAGATAAAATTTAACACTGAGGGAGAAAGCTGGTAATTTTTTTTCACATTCAAATTCAGAGAAAATCCTCTAATTATACTTTAAAATTACTTCACCTAAAATGGCACACCTCCTAAAACAAAGCACTTTGGTTTTCTAGCACTGATTTTTCAAAGTAGAATTTTTTCAATCATTAAAAATAATAAAGAAATACTATTTATCACCATTAAAGTGGCAAAAATTAATCAGTCTCTTAAGACCAAGTGCTGTCAAACAGGTAGGGAAAGAGGCGATTTTATACACCTGCTAGCAAAAGCTGTAAATTGGTGCAACCTCTACGGGCAATTTAGTTGTATCTACTAAACTTGAAAACGTCCATCCACAGAAATTACACATATCTCGTGTAAAGAAATTCTCTCACATGTATTACAAAAAGACATCTACCATAATGTTCACTAGCTATGTGACCTTGGGCGATTTACTAATCTCTCTGCCTCAGTCTCCTCAAATGTAAAATGTGCATAATGATACTTCCTATCTCACAGGATGCTATAATGATAAAATGTGTTAAATGCTTTAATGTATGTAAGCACTTAGAACAGAACCTGGAACATAATAAGCACAATAAGTGGTAGCTGCTATGATAATTATTATTGTCACACTGCATGCCATGGAAAAAGGTAGAAATAATCTAATGGTCTCTCTCACTGTAGGGAAACACATAAACTACAGTTTATTAATACAGTGAAATACTATATACCTCTTAAAATGAGTGGTCTAGATCTACAAAGGGTGCCAAAAAAATGCATGGACGTCTTAAGAAAGGAAAAAAACTGTATTAAAATTGTAATACTCAATATTTACCGATAACAAAAGATGAATACAAGCCATGTGTATACATTTTTTGGCACCCACCCCCCCCCATACGCCTATGTATCAAAATGGATAAATCTCAAAAGAAGGATCAGATTAAAAAGCTAGTACAAATTATATATGTATGTACATACATTATGATACTATTTAATTTACTATAGACACATACACACTTAGTAAAAGTTTAAAAATATGCATGGAGTCTGGGAATGTTACATACCAACTTCAGTTCAGTGGTTATCTCTACAAGGGGGAGAGAGGGACTCCATATCAATAACATTTTATTTCTTAAACTATCTGAGGCAAATATAGCAAAATATTGGGTTGTTGGAAAAGTCATGACGTATTTTTCTGTTTTTTGTTGCAAAAATGCATCATGACTTTTCCGACAACCCAATAGCATATCTATTTAATCTAAGTAGTGAGTATTGAAGTATCCCACTCAAACTTACATATATTTTTTATTATTTAGTACGTTTGAACTATTTTAATTTTTAAAATAAAATTTAAAATAAAGAAAAATCAACTGTTACACTACAAATATTCACAGGTGCTAAATGGTGTCTACAGATTAATGACCTCATTTTTATTTAAATAAAATGAAGAGCCACCTATTTTTATTTCTAATTTAAAAGTTTCTGCATTTGTTACATTTCCCAAAGTAATTAACCCTTCTCTATACAATTCTCTGGTCTGAATTATTTTGTCTGAAAATAGTAGTCCTTAAAAGTAGACCACTACATTTGTTTTCATCATAGCATGTAAACTCAAGTAAAAATAGTAAGTAAAATATACCAATGAACATGAATTAGTAAACTTTACCACTTTGATTAACCAGAAAGCCAGGTAAAGAAATACCCTAACTAAATAAATAAATTGGCTGTTTAACCAAAAATTTCAACTCCTGTCCTCAAAAATCAATCCTTTGCCCTGCACCAGGTCTCTTAACCTGTTCTGTGTCATGGACCAAATGATCTGGGCATAATTGTTTCCCCCTAAAATTCATGTGTTGAAATCTTAACTCCTAGTAACTTAGAATGGAATTGTATTTGGAGATAAGGTCTTTACAGTGTGATTAAATTAAAATGATGTTATTAGGGTGAGCTCTAATCTAATATGACTGGTGTCCATCCTTACCTAAAGAGGGAATGTGGACACAGATGTGTACAGAGGGAAGACTATGTGAAGACACGGGGAGATGATGATCATTTAAGCCAAGGAAAAAGGCCTCTGAAGAAAACAACCCTGCAGACAGCTTGACCTCAGATTTCTAGCCTCCAAGACTGTAAGAAAATTAATTTCTGTTGTTTAAACAACTCAGTGTATGGTACTTTGTTACGGCAGCCCCAGCAAACTAATAAAGACAGCTTCAGAAACTTATGAATCCCTGCTTAGAATGTTTTTAAATAGATGCTAAAAAAGAAACAACGGTAATAAAACATAGTTCTACCCATGGACTCCTTGGGGAGGACAGGGACCACATGTTAGAACCTTCCCCTAATTTATCCTCCTTAGGTAATCTGCTCCACTCCTACAGCCTCAATTTCTACCTAAATACTAATAATTCCAATCTCAAATCTCTCTCTCAAGCCCTCAACTTTATTTAAATCTGTATCTTGAACTTCTTATTTACATCAACATCAATTCTACCTGATGTCCCATAGGTACCTCAAATTCAACATATCTGGAGCACAGTTTTCTTTTCCCCATCCTGCCTAACCTAATCTCAGCACTGCTTATCACAGTGATCCCAATCATCATAGGCAAATACCTCTGAAGTTTTTCAGAATCATGGACACCTTCATATTTCTTACACCTCATCGATTTCTGCCAAATATTTCTGTTAAAGATTTCCCAAATCCCTTCATTTTTAATACCATTGTTGCTGTCTTATCCCAATAGGGTACTGCTACAATTCCCTACAGGTGTTATGCTTGTATCTCTTCACCTTCTCCATCGTCCTCTTAAACACCTGCACTGTGATCTTTCAAAACTGTAATTTTGAACATAAGTCTTGCAATGAAAACAAATGGAAGAATCATTCAGTAGTTTCTCATTATCATTCTAACCAGCTGATATTTAAGACCTAGCAAAATCTGGCAGCAGCCTCACTTCCCGCCTCATACACTAGCATAACTGAATAATACGCAGTCACTAAACACGCCATGTACTCTCACTCAGCTAACCTGTGCGTATGCTGTCCCTGTCCACTC